TACATACATACATACATACATACATACATGCATGCATGCATGCATGCATGCATGCATGCATGCATCCATACATACATACATACATACATACATACAAACATACATACGTACATACATACGTACATACATACATACGTACATACATGCATGCACGCATGCACATTTCACTCAGGACGCTGAACCAACACATGACATAGACAAACACAGAGCCTAAGTCTATGGCCCAGACCCCTTACTCCCTGTATCCCTCATCCCTATAAACGCTTAACCCCTACATTCAAAACCCTTAATCGTATAAATCCTTTGACTTGCATAGCCCCAACCAGGTCCAACAAAAAGGTGGTGGTTGGTAGGCAATTGGGCAATGGATCCCCATGGCAGTCTCTTCTACAATCCGTTTTTCAAGTGACTATAGCGGAAATCTTGAACCTGAGGCCTAAGCCGTTAAGCCTACACCCTTAACTCGAAAACCCAAACACAAAGCCTAAACCCTCAAACCCAAACCCTGCACCCCAAACCCTAAACCCTTACACCCAAACCCTAAACCCTTACACCCAAACCCTAAACCCTTACACCCAAACCCTAAACCCAAAACTCCAGACCCCTAACCCCAAACCCTAAACCCCAAACCCTGAGCCCAACCACCGGTCAAAAGCTTGAAGCCTGGGCCGCCAGAGCCCTCCACATCTCCCGTGCCACGTGCTCATGCCCTTTGCTGGGATTGGTTTTGGATTTTGGGCTTGGGCTTCTCCCTAAACCCTAAACCCTAAACCCTAAATCTTAGTCTTGAGGGGTCTGGATTGGGAGCTGGGGGCAGGAAGCTCCCCTCAGGGACCCAGGTACTTTTTGGTACATACTCCCTAAACCCCTTGTAAACCCTAAACCCTAAATTGGCTTTAAATCTTTACCTTGGCGTCCCAAAGAGCCCCACAAGTAATTCCCTAAGGGTCCTAGGACTAAAATAATAGGGCTTTAGGGCCCAAATACTAGAATATAAGTGGTATTTGTGCCCTAAACCCCTATTATCTGGATCCTTGCACCCTTAGGGATTAAGAACTATTCGAAGACTTTTGCGCTCCAAGTGGGTATTGCTCATGGATCTGGATCCCGGGATTATACCCTTAAGGGTCCAAGTACTGAAAATTCGTATACTTCCCTCAACGCTGCACAAATATTACTCAGGTTTCGGCTTGAGGGTCGGGTGCTTATTATCTCTGGGCACGTGGCCAAACATGCGAAACGAACCTCTTTGCCCGTCTGATTGTTTTGCAGTTACAGCTACTGATCCAACATCATATCTGTAGCTTTCTAATGGCCTACCTGGACCCTCCAACCCCAAATCCTAAACCCTAGCAATCATGCAATACCAGCCGCCATCCGGAAGGTTCCACAGGGTCCCTCTTCCCAGTCTATGCATAACGCTCCTTATACCTTTTAGACATGTGTGTGCACGAAATTGTCCTGCTTAATGCCCAAATTGTCCATGTAGCTCTATAATATATACTTGGTCCCAAAGATACTTCTGTGGGAACCCCTTTGGGCCGCAAGTATCTACTATATACCTACCCTAAACCCCAAACCCTGCACCCCACACCCTAAACCCTATACTATATAGCTGCGTGGACCTTTTGGGATGATTCTTTGTTGAGCAACAAAGCCCTTTTCAACGACAAGCCACGCTTCACCCAGCACCAAAGCAGCGTGCTTCTCCCTCAGTTGGGCAGAACCCTAAGGGTCCCAGTACGCAATACTTAGGTACTTGGTCTTAGCGTAATAGTAATTGTGTAGGACCGTTCGAGGTACTTGCAACGACCGGAAGAACCGCCCGGGCAATTTTGGAGGTCATAAGTACTGTTCAGATAACGAGTATCGCGTGATGCCGAGTATGTTGCTATGTCTTGAAGGGAACCGAATTAGACAACACTACCCACATGAAAGTGTACATGTTGGAAGTAGGCGTTTCTCCCTAAACCCTAAACCCTAAACAAAAAATCCTAAACCCTAAATCTCAAACCCTATACCCTAAACCCTAAATCCTAGATCCTAAGCCCTAAACCCTAATCCCTAAAGCTGAAGTCTTCGAGGCTGCACACAGCTCGGGGCTGAGCAGAGGCATGGTATGGTGCAGCCAAACCAGGTCATGTTAGTGTGAGCCCTGGACTAAATTTAGGGTTGAGGGTTTAGGGTTTGGGGCTTAGGGCCTGTGAGCCCTGGACTAAATTTGTAGTATATCCCTTAATGGTCCCCCCCAAAACTCTATATAGTCCCCTATAGGTCCCCCCAAACCCAAATCTAGTCCGTAGTTCCTGTTGAGAATTATGAGGGGAGATCTTGAGAAAACAGGATCTAGTTCCCCTTCAGGGCATACTAGTTTGCAGTTTCCATTTTCCATTATCCCTATATAAACCCATCATGACCCCAATATAACCCCACTATAATCCCGACATAACCCAAATATCAAGGGCTGTCAGCTCAGCATGCGCCAACCAAAAATGCAGCACACCTTGTTGTCAGTGTAAGCACTTGGGCCAACTCCAAAACAAAGTGAAACCTGAGGATCCAAGGACCCAAATGTGAGGGCTTTAGGTCCCAAACACCATTCAGATTAATTACAGTTTTTGGGCCCGAATACCCCATCATTTGAGTCCTTGGACCCATAGTGGACGTGAGACGTCGTGTCAAACCTCACCCCGCGCGTCCAACACATCAACCTTGTTGAAGTATCCGCTGAGCCAACAAGGGTCATTACCAGCTGCTTGTAAAAAAAGCCGAAATCTCTGATTTCACGGACTAGGGTTTAGGGTTCAGGGTTTAGGGGTCCAAATAGCCAATAATCATAGACCCGCACAGGCCCTGTAGCATAATTGCTGTTTCCCGAAGACCAAGTACCTAATTATTGTGTACTTGGACCCTGAACCCTTCCCATCCCTATACATCCCTATACCCTTCTTCACACCCTTCTATATCCCAATATATCCCTATCATCCCCTTCAAGGGACCCTTACTGGGTACTTCGACCTGATCTGAAGTTGCAGTCAACCCTGAAGCCAGACAGCTTTTGAGAAGCTATTGCCCAGAGGCTCCAAGTACCCAAGGTTTAGGGTTTATGGTTTAGGGTTTAGGGTTCAGGGTTTAGGGCAATGATTGGGTACTTGGGATTAGCGCAATATTAGTTATACTACAGGTTTTTGAGTATGTATATGATTATTAAGTACTTGGACCCTTAGGGTTGTCTTCCTCTACGTACCCGTAAAGGGGGGCCGCAGAGCAGGAAAAGACATTCCTAGGAACGTCCCACGTAAAGCCCCCTTCATACCCAACGCCTGGAAGGTAGGGATTTGCCCGTTAAAAGCTATGCTCATACTCTAAGCCCTAAAGACACAATCCACTTGGTTGAAAGTGAAGGATCCATTCTGGAGCAGGCGCCCCAGGAGAGCTGCGAGATCTGGGACCACATCCTGGGACGGTTGTCGGGGTGTGCCCCGTAAACAAAATTATTGTTCCGTATCTGGAGCCCTTAGGCGCTCCAAGCAAGGAGACATAAGTATACTAAGTATACTTCGGTGTCTAAAGAAAAGCAAAACGCAAAGGATCCTAAGTATCTATATGGTATAAAGTACGTTTTGACGCCCCACAAAAATCTTGTCTGAATGCCTAATTAGCTTTGCATGTAACCTACAGGCTGTCAAATGGAGAAGAGGATGGCCCCTAAATCCTAAACCAAAGACCCTAAGCCCTAAAACCTATGCCTCGAAAGCGTATAGTAGCCCCTATCGAATCACCAGTGCTGTGCGATTGAGGGTTAGATTTGCATGTCTTCATAATCTGGAGCCTAAAAAACTTTCCGTTGTCTCTTCCCCATCTCCTGCACCTATTAGAACCTGAACTTAAGCCAATTTGGGATTCTATATCATCTGAGCCACCATTTGACGTGAGTTTGGGCGGGGTCCTAAACCCGTAAACCCTAAAACCCCTAAACCCTAAACCCTAAACCCCTAAACCCTAAACCCCTCACCCCCAAAATCCCCAAAACCCCTCAACCCCTAAACCCCCTAAAACCCCTCAACCCCTAAACCCCCTAAACTCCCAAGACCCCCAAACCCTACCCCTAAACCTTCCTTTGCCCAGGCGTCCGACCAGTAAAGGACGTCGGAGCACAGGATCAGGTCGTAGTTCGGAAGAGCATCCTGGGGCCAGCTGGCAACTGCCTGGCAGCAAGCAGCCTCCAGCCTCCTCTCCCATCAATCCTAAACTCCTCTCCCACCAATCCTTATATATATATATTATACACGTAAGAAGAGAGAGAGAGAGAGAGAGAGACAGAGAGAGAGAGAGAGAGTTATGTACATACGTATATATGAATATATGTATATATATATAGAGTCGGTTTTGAGTCTAGGCTTCTATCTATGCATATATATATATATGTGTGTGTACACATCTGTATGACGGTTTCCCACAGAGATAAGGGTCCCACTGTGAAGGTCCCCAAAATTAGGTTGTTAAGTGTTTTGGTGTGCATCTTGGCGCCCGCTTTTATGGAACCCCCGTATACTGCCGCTTTAAGGGCCATTTTTGGGGTTCAATCTTAGTTTGGGAAGGGTGAGTACATTCATAAGAGGATTCGGGAAGCCCTAACCCCTATCTAACCCCTATGATAAGGACCTCATGATACGCAGAACATGCAAGTTATAGGCTCCCATTGTTTTGACCGGGGGGGTGCCAAAGCCTTCTTGTCAGTAGTATATCTGCCTTTAGGGTTTTTGGTTGAAAGCTTAGAGCTTGAAATGGAGGGTTGTTCATGCCAGTTTGTTGCGAGGTAGACCCACCTTTTCTTGTCTTGCACTCTACTTTAAAGGTTAGAACCCAAAGGGTCCGCCATAGAGTGTATACTCAATACGGCCGGAAGGTGTTGCCATAACACTACTGTAGGGCCCAAGTACATGCTATATACTATATACCGACCTACCGACCTACCCTACGCCCTAATTAACCCCTATACCATAAACCATATATCCTATACTATATGGTAGTTTCCCAAAATAATGGGACCCCAATATAGACCCCCAAATAATATAGTCCTTATTATAGGGACCCCCAAAAGGTACCCCTAATTTTGGGAAACCCCCATATAGCTACATGGACCCTTGGCTACGGTAAAGTCCAGTTACAAACGTGCCTTCCAGTCGAGCAGCGCAAGCTTTGTATTTGGAGAGCAGAGGCTGTTGGCTGCCATGTTGCTGAAAGTCAGAGGCAAAACCTGTGGCTTAGGGCTTAGGATAGGGTTTACGGTGGTCCAGGGTAGCGTTTAGAGTAGGTCTAGAGGCTAGGGATTACGATTTACGGTTGAGGGTTTGTTCGTTGCTGTTTGCTCATTTAGTAGCTTAGAATTCCTATCCTTCAGTGGCAAAACAAGTGTTCATAGTGCGAGTAGCCGTTGTCTGGCATCCCGAACAGCAGGAGTATATAACCAACATTTCCATTTCATGTGTATTTTGATGTTCCATTCGGTTGTCCTGAAACCCTAAACCCTAAACCCCCTAAACCCTAAACCCATTGTCCTTCGACTACTATCGCTGCTACAACCACCACACCCGACACCATAGAAACCGCCACCGCTGCCAGGTCAAAAACGGGAATTATGGTTTAGGGTTTAGGGTAATACTTGATAGCTTCCATGAACAGCGGAGCCCAAAACAGACCGCAAAAATCCCCTGCTCAGAAACGAGTTCACGCAACAGAGGAACAGTTTGCTAGGTAGGCCCTTTGCCAAAGGCGGTGCAACATGATTCGAATATCTTGACGTTTCCGCGGGAAGCGGGGTGGTATTCAGGTCAACACTAACAAGCGCTAGACTTGATCCTCCCTCAACCCTAAACCGTAAATCTTAAACCCTAAACTCTAAATCCTAAATAAACCCTAAACCTTCAAACCTAAACCTTAAACCAAAACCTGGATTAAACCCTAAACCCACCAACACAGCTGTCGTAGCCTGCGGAAGGTCGGTGAGGGTGACTGCAGCGCCGAGCGACGCTGCGGCAAGACCTGCTGCGCCTGGGCCGATTCACCAAGACTATGGTTTAAGGTTTAGGATCTGGGGGTTTTAAGGTTTAGGATCTGGGGGTTTTAAGGTTTAGGATCTGGGGGCTTAAGGTTTAGGATCTGGGGGTTTAAGGTTTAGATCTGGAGGTTTAAGGTTTAGGATCTGGGGTTTTAGGGTTTAGGATCTGGGGGTTTAAGGTTTAGGATCTAGGGGTTTAGGGTTTGCCTGTAATCCCAATTTCCTACAGTTTTATGGGTTATACCTACTAATTTAGGGGTAACTACTGTTAAACTGTAGGTGGTTGGGGTTTAGGGTTTGGGGTTTAGGGGTTCAGGGTTTAGGGTTCAGGGTTCAGGGTTTAGGGGCTTAAGGCTTAGGCTGGTTTAAGGTCCATGTACCAAACCAAGGGATACGTGTGGATTCGGTTTAGTGTTTAACCAAGAGATACGCGTGGATTTGGTTTAGTGTTTACGCATATCACCTGAGAAAATGGAAAATCCGATGGTCGAGAAAGTTGGAAATTCAGGGGAAGCTGGCCTTCCATCTAGAGATTTTCCAAAGACTATGACGATGCATGTGCCAACTAAGGGTCCTTCAACGGAGTCATAGGGATTCATGGAAATACATGGGAATATATAACGAAGATGTATACGAATGTCCATGAAGGTCCATGCATGCTTAGGGTTTACGGCTTAGGGTTTAGGGTTCGGGGTTTGAGGGGCTAAGGGTTTAGGGTCTTGGGCGTTACTGGCTTGATGTCCAGCATGGGCAAAAGGCAAGCTGCCTGTCCCACTGCCCAGTTCCAGGACAGTCTTTCCAGCCAGATACCTGGGAAGGGTAGAGATTTTTAGGGTGCTATCCAGAGTCTATCCCGGAAGGTGGGGCATGGGCTGAGAATCCTGTATCGTGAAGAGCAGCACTGTCAAACGCTACATACAGCTTAGAGCATATGCTGGTGTTCTGGGACATCGTGCCCTCTTCCACAAAACACTGGTTCGCACCTCATAGATGGTTGACCTCTGAACATGGACTCCAGGAAGAACTGTATTGTGGGCAAGCTGCAGACGTGGTCAAACCTCAAGCATTCACCATGGATACGGTCTCTGTGAGGGTTAGCCCCACCGGAAGTCTGAGTAAGCCATATCATAAGCCTTTGTCTATCCACGCATCCGCCCGTACATGGGCCAAACCCAATTATATGAGACTTGGGGAGGAGGACTCCAGCGGTCTGGTAGAGCCCTTGACATAAAGCACCCATACGGGTCTAGGCTATTGGGTTTGGGATTTAGGGTTTATAGGATTCAGGGTTTAGGATTTAAGGTTCAGGATTTAGGACGGTTCCGGGTTTAGGATTTAGGGTTTAGGATTTGGGGTTTGCAATTTAAG